AGTGCTGCCATCTGGTTCCTCAGCACAGGATCTCTGCCGGGAACAGGAACGGCATGGCAACCACGAGGACATTTGTTTTTCAAATGACTTTTCTAATCACCGTTTAGCAGGATACAAATATTTACAATAAAACAGAGAGGAGCAGGTTGCTGTGCTGGAAAAGGTTCCCCAGAAGAAAAAGAGAGAGCTCGGCAAAGTGAAGAAGCAAGGAAAATCTGTGTCTGAGAAGCCACCTGGATTGTCAACAGGAGAGCACTGCATGGAAGGACATACTACCAAGAAGGTAACATCTCCATCCTCAAAGCGACCTCGGGTTGGCAATGATGACAAATCCATCTTCAGCCTCGACATTTCTTCTTCCTGGACCAGGGGATGGCACACTAGTGCTCTGGAGGAGGAAGGCCATCCTCGCACAGCCCAGCACCTCTTGCCAGGCGATACCCTCTGCCATGCCTTCTCCAGCAAAAAGAGACTATAACTGAAAACACCCAGCTGCAAAGAAGAGCTGCTCACCTTGCGCAGAAAGATACATGAGTGAATGAACCCCACACGCCTGCACATGCAGAGTAATCACAGCTGGGACGTGCAGGTCGAGCAGAGCCCAGCGATGCTGGCAGAGGCAAGGCTACCCATAGCCACTCTGGTCCAGGCATGAAGAGGTTGCTCCTGTGTCTCCGCAGCACTGGCTTTCGTCAGCCCTGGCTCCTCTTGCCTTTGATTAAGCGAAACAGAGCACTCTCGCGTGCTAATGCCACAAAGGGCCTGCCCGATGTTTGGCTGGGTTTGCTGCTGTTATTTTGTGCGGACAAGTCACTTAGTGCCTGCTCTGTTGCAGACCGTTATTTAGTTTTGTCAGGGTCTCTGATGGAGGGGAGGAATGAACCAAGCCACAGCACTTGATTTCTCTGTGCTCACATACTGGTTTTAAAAATATCGTGTTGATCATGTTTGTTTTGTGTTTCCTTCCCAGCTCCTCACTAAAAAGTTTCTTGCTTTTTTGCACCCTGACTCTATCTTGGCCAACCTTTTAGTGTCCCTGCTTTTACAAGCAACATCAATTATGGATCTTCTCTCTTTTTTTAAAAAAAAAAAAAAAAAGCTCACAGCTTTAAGACAGGAATAAACTCATTTACAAGCCATTCATAGCTTCCATGCCCTCAGAGATGCTCTTTAACTCATCGCTTCCCATCGAAAAGGGAGGCTCCCCCTTGCAGGAGTCTCTGCACAGGACCGATTGCAAGGTATTTCCTCCCTGTTAGGTGTTAAAGGGAAGGTCTCCACCCCAGAGGGCTTTTTTTGTTGCTGTTCTTAGAAAACCTGAGTCTAAGATCCCCCATTCAGCCCTCTCTGAGGGCAGAGAAGGGTTGTGCTCTTGAGTCAGTAACTCCTAGGAAAGAGGAAAAAGTGGATACGGGAAGAGCCCAGCTTCATCTTAACCTCTACCAGGCTGACATAGGGAGTTATTTTGGTAGCTCAAAACACATTTATTTTCTTAGG